GTGCTCATGTGGAACATGTACATAGACCGAGAGGCAGTCATTCAAACCAAACAAGGAGATACAGCGGGTTTAAAATCAGGAAAGGTGTGTGTCAGGGTTTTATCCTTTCACCATACTTACTCAGTCTATATGCTGAGCAAATAATCCAAGAAGCTGGACTATATGAAGAAGAAGGTGGCATCAGGATTGGAGGAAGATTCATTAACAGCCTGTACTATGCAGATGACACAACCTTGCATGCTGGAAGGGAAGAGGACTTGAAGCACTTACTGACAAAGATCAAAGACTACACCCTTCAGTACGGATTACACCTCAACATAAAGAAACAAAAATCCTCACAACTGGACCAATAAGCAACATCATAATAAATGGAAAAAAGATTGACGTTGTCAGGGATTTCTTTTTACTTGGATCCACAATCAACACCCATGGAAGCAGCAGTCAGGAAATCCAACAACACATTGCATTGGGCATATTTGCTGCAAAAGACCTCTTTAAAGTGTTAAAAAGCAAAAATGTCACCTTGAGGACTAAGGTGTGCTTGACCCAAGCCATGGTATTTTCAGTTGCCTCATAAGCATGCAAAAGCTGGATGATAAATAAAGAAGACCAAAGAAGAATTGGTGCCTTTGAATTATGGTGTTGGTGAAGAATATTGAATATACCATGGACTGCCAGAAGAACGAACAAATCTGTCTTGGAAGAAATACAGCCAGAATGCTCCTTGGAAGGGAGGATGGCGAGACTTCGTCTCATGTACTTTGGACATGTTATCAGGAGGGATCAGTCCCTGGAGAAGGACATCATGCTTGGTAAAGTGAGGGTCTTAATTGGAAGACCCTCAACGAGATGAATTGACACAGTGGCTGCAACAGTGGGCTCAAACATTGCAATGATTGTAAGGATGGCACAAGACCAGGCGGTATTTTGTTCTATTGTACATAGGGTTGCTATGAGTCAGAACTGACTTGATGACACTTAGCAACAACAACAAAGTTTGACAACAAGGGTGAGTGACATAGTAATTGTACTTTGTTTTCTACACAGCATTTAACCATAGTAAAAGTGGACTCTAGAGTTCAGAAGAGTTCTTCTTTTCTTTTTGTGATTTTTACTACCTCACTCCAGTGGTGTCAAACTGCTGCACAGTTCTCATCTTCAGTAAAGTTTGCTCCTTGATCTCCAAACGTTCTACAGCATACCAGACAATATACGTTTTCCTTGTATGACTCAACATGATTGTGAGTTTTCAGTGTGTACACAACTAAACACATTAGAATTTATTTTAGAGGTACATGATACACAGATGGAAAAACTGGAAATGTAGTATGAGTATATGACCCCCTGCATACTCATGCATGAAATGTGTACTTTGAGCATAGAATTTCCAAATACGGTAGAGCATTGGTCTCAAATGAATAGAGATATTGGACACTAGAAGTTTCTTCTGAATTAATTAACTTTAACGCTGAAGATTTAGTAGAATATTCAAAACCCTAGCTTTGTGTCAACAGATGATTTCATTGGAATGCAGTAAGTGCTAGGACAGTGACATGCACAGCATGCTGGGGAAGCATCGAAGAAGGGTCCTCTCCTAGAAGAAAGGCGAAGGCTTCCTGGAGATGACACCTGGGCAGAACCTTCAAAGATGAGCAGGAATTTAGCCAGATAAAGAGGGGAAGAATGTTCCAGACAGAGGAAATAGCTTAAGTAAATGCTCTGTTGTCATTGTTGTTGGGTGCCGTTGAAATGATTTTCGACTCATAGTGACCCCATGTGACAGAGTAGAACTGCACCGTGGGGTTTTCGTGGGTGTAATGTTTATGGAAGCAGATTGTCAGGTCTTTCTCCCCAGGAGCCACTGGGTAGGTTTGAACCACCAACCTTTCAGTTAGCAGCTAAGCCCTTAACTGTGCCAACAGGGTTCCTTATGTATATGGTAGGGGGCGTGAAATGACTTAAACATTGCAAACTAGTGGGTATCACTGGTGTATTAAAAAAGATTTGGTGGATCGTGTTTAGAGGCTTGACTTTATTTACCCTGAGGGCACAAAAGAATCATTAAAGGGTTTTGAACTGGGAGTGACCCAGTCAGAGTTGGATTTCAAGACCATTAACCTTAATTAATTTTGCTTCCTATACAGTCTACAGTTCTAGCCTGGTCAGTGTGATGATTTAGAAGACAGTTGCAATAGTCTAGGCAAGAGGTGGTGAAGACCTGAATTAGAGCGGTAGTAGTATGGATAGAGGGGAGAGAGGGATAAGATGGGCAGGACTTGGTAAGTTGATTGTAGATATGAAAATCAAAAGATAGGAAGGAGTCAGGTTTTTTAACATACCTCCTTATTGAGCAACACAGGGAGTTAGTATGTTATCTTCTTAGGTTTTGGACAAGGAAGAGACTGCTGCTCCATTTTGAGTCAAGAGAACAAGAGGCAGACGATGAGTAAGGAGAGAGACCTTTCCATACTTTCCATAGTCCTCCATGAGAGACAGACCCAAACCAAACCAAACCCATTTCCGTCAAGTCAGTTAGGACTCATAGCAACCCTGTAGGACAGAGTAGAACTGCCCCATAGGGTTTCCAAGGCTGTACATCTTTATGGAAGCAGACTGCCACATCTTTCTCATGCAGAGAGGCTGGTGGATTCCAGCCACTGACCTTTCAGTTAGCAGTCCAGCGTTTAACCACTTATGCCACTAGGGCATCTTGAGAGACAGAGAAGTGCACATGTCTGCCTGTGTCTTAACTCCTTACCCACCATACTAGCAGTCTTCAAACTTCTTTTTAAAGTAGTGAGAGGAACCTTTGATGCAAATAAAATCTTATTATGTAGAACCCCAGGATACACAGAGGTGGAAGGACCCGAGGCACCACCACAGAGCCCCTAAGACTCTGCAGAACAGTTTGAACAGCACCGTTCTAGAGTGAACACAGCATTGCCTCTCACCCCAAGTCTCAGATAAAAGTTGATGTTTAGAGGCCTTACAGCTCAGGGGCTCAGAGAGTGGTGGTTGTCTGCCACAGGTTATGACAATACACCTGCTTTAAAAATGGTTTGCTCTTGAGACATGTTCGAGTTTAAGAAAGGTCAGATTGATGAGGTAGAGTTACCTATCTTGATGATAGCAACCCTATAGGACAGAGTAGAACTGCCACACAGTGTTGCCAAGGCTATAATCCTTACGGAAGCAGACTGCCGCATGTTTTTCCACAGGGTGGCTGGTGGGCTCAAACCGCCATCCTTCCAGTTAGCAGCTGAGCACTTAACCACTGCAAAACCAGAGCTTGTTTCAGAAACAGTAGCAGGGTGAAGTGGAGGGAGTATTGCCTGGGTGTCCAGAAGCCTGAGGTCTGGACCTAGCTCTGCCACTTGCTAGCCACATGACCTTGGGTACATCCCTGAACCTCATCTGCCTTGGTTTCCTTGCCTATTAAATGAGGACTGGGTGATCTCTGAGGCCCTGTCCAGCTCTAAAATTCTATTAATGTGAAATAGCCAGCCTTTTGGAAAAAGGCTTTTGATTAAAGATCCAGTCTCAGATTAGTGCCTGCTTATGAGAAATGAGCTGAAAGCCCCACAGGAGGGAGTAGAGGTGAAGCAATCTATGGTATTTATAAAGTCATCTTCATCATTCTGTAGCTAGACATAGCACACTTTTGACAATTTTTAGTGGGAATTTTCCATTATTTTGGGGGGTTTGATTTTGGCCATATGAACACAGTAATAATAGATAAATGCTTCTGACCAGCTAAAACTGCAGAATGTATAGGAAACAAAAGTGAGCTTTTTGAAGTAACTGGTTTGTAAGGTTTCAGAAGTGTAGCCTGTGTCCTGACCCCCACCTCTGTTATATAGATTGGTCTGGTCACCACTTCCCTGCTACTGAACTTTAGAGCAGGGTCTGTTAGGTGGCCCCTTTTCTTCTCTGGGGCTTTGCTGGTATATTAATTATCAACTGCTGCATAAAAAATTACTCTAAAACTTAGTGGCTTAAAATAACAAACATTTATTACCTCGCAGTTTCTCTGGGTCTGGAAATCGGGAGCAACTTAGCTGGGTGGTTCTGGCTCAGGGTCTCACATGAGGTTGCAGTGAAGATACTGGCTAGGGCTACAGTCATCTGAAGATTCATTGGGGCTTGAGGATCCACTTCCAACCCCACTCACATGCTCTTGGCAGGAGACCTCAGTTCCTTGCCACATAGGCTTCTCCACAGGGCTGCTTGAGTGTCCTCACGACATGACAAGTGGCTTTCCCTAGAGCAAGTGTTTCAAGAAAGATGACCCGACAGAAGCTTTTATGACCTCCTAGCAGAAGGCATTCTCCATCATTCTGCTGGTCTGTTTTTTAGAAGCAGGTCGCTAAGTACAGCCCACACTCAAGGAAAGAGGAGTTAGGCTCCACCAAAGGGAAGAGTATCAAAGAATTTGTGGACAACTTTTAAAACCACCGCAGCTGGCTTTGGCACTAGTTTTCTAACTGAGGTGGTGCTAGGAACAGGTTTTATTCAAATATATGTCTGGCTGGTCAAGAATTTAGTACTCACAAATACATTCTTGGAGCTGGGTGATTATTGACCTTTTTTTCCTCCATGAGCTATACTTAATAGTTATTAAAGAACCGAATGAAGAGGAAAATTGTGAATATATGCATTAAATATTCAGCAAACATTCACCAGATGTTACTATATACAAGGATATAAAATAAGCCATGATCCGTATCTTTGAGGAATGAATACTAGGGAAGACAGACAAAAAGAGAAAAGGGGAAAAAAGGACAAATACAGTGCAGTGAGAAAAATGCTGTGATAGTTATAAGCTTGGAGTGTTCGGGGTATACAGAGAAGGGGCACCTAACCCAGACTTAGATCAAGGAGTCAGGGAAGCTTTCTAGAAGCAGTGACTCCTTGATGAGCAACCCCACCCACCACAGGACCCAGACAGAACTCCATGGCCCTGACCAGGGAAAGACCTTACTACTCTTTTTACCTTTCAGAATGTTGCTGAGGCACAGTGCATTGCCAACCAAGTTCAGCTCTTCTATGCCACTGATCGGAAAGAGACCTATGGGTTAGTGGAGACCTTTAACCTTAGACCAAATGAGTTCAAATATATGTCTGTCATCGCGGAATTGGAACAGAGTGGACTTGGAGCAGAACTGAAATGTGTCCGGAACCAGGAGAAGACTTAGAGCTGTAAGAGTTGGCTCCACTCAGGGTCTGCTCAGCCCTGGATAGTGTAGAGCCTACCCGCTTGAACTACAGAGAACTCAGCTTATAACCCTGAGCAGTCTGTAATGTGTTGTCCTGTGTGCTTATTGCAAGAAATGATCATGGAGGTGAGCCCTACTGCTTGATATTCAGATATAAAGGTACCCAAACATTCTGATAATTATTTCCCAGCATACTTGAGGTTTCCTTTTAAGAGACTGAAGTCTGAACAAGAGACAGCCAAGGATCCAGAGGATGGTTTACCTGATTTTACACAGTATAATGGTATAGTTGTATTCTGGCCGTTTTGGACCTTACAACTCCCACATGATCAGTTCTTCTGCTTTATAAACATGTGACAAGATAATGAGCTTAGAGTCCTGCTATATTTAGATGTGGGCCTTACATACGCTTCCCATGCACTAGTCGGCCACCCAAAGACATAACCTGGATATCCTTGTTCAGATTCTAGAATAACCAGATATTCCCATCAGAATAAAGATTTCATCCAGATGCCCCCCTCCCCACCGCCCCCCTGCCCCAGAGTTGCCTTTAGTGTAGCTGGTGTGGGGTATCAGCAGATTTCAGGTATAATTAGATACGCAGGTACAGTGCCTGCATAATATTAAGCTATGTCAAGTCGCACTTGCTCCTCTAACTCTGCCTGTTAGAAGCTGTGTATTTGAAGGGCATGTATCAGTGCAGTATATAAATAAAGCAACACTTTTGTAAGGGGAAGATCAATCCAGATTTGCATGATTTTTTTTAAAAAAATAATTCTAAGTAGTGCCATTATTATATGAAAAAGTGGGTAGAAGCAAATGTTCCCAGATTGGGCATGGGAAAAATGTAGCAATAAAATAAATCCCGGCTGACAATCTTTGTTACACAAAATAGTGAAATCTAAGCTATGTGCTGTCCATGGTGTCAGTCTGTGGGCTGATTTCATCAAAATCAGTCTTGGGATGCAGAGCAGTTACTTGAAATGCCAACAGTAAGAAAGCTCTCCAGAGTTGGAAATCTATGTTTGGTTTGTAGTGTCACTGCTATGGCTTCAAGCTCAGTGATAGAAAAGGATGATGGTTACACGCCTGACTTCTGAACCGAAGGCCCAGGTCCCCACCGGGATTGTTGTCTGCCTTTCCTGCCTACTATGTCTTTCCTGTTCTTGAGTTAACACGCTCCTCTTTATCTGCCACTCCTGCCTAAGATCTGGTTGGATGACACTGAATATGATGAAAGGGAATTTAACCAGCATTTGCAGTTTGTGTTGCTTGTGTGTGTATTTGTTAACAGAGGAGTTTTATAGGTTGGGCTTCTACCTCCAAGCTCTTTAATCGGATTGGACTTACCATTGTATTCGGAGCTGTATCTGTTTTGTTGTACCTCTGAGTCTGTGTATAGAGAGACAGATAGTGTTTGTTTAACCTGGAGAAGCTGCTAGCCTTTCACAATTTCTCTAAAGGTTGAGCTGTTTCCTAATGAAAATTCTGGACCTCTGATCCTGGTAGTTCATCTTTTGAGAAACTTTGGTGTTACTGGCTCTGCTATCTTCCTTAAATGCCCCCTGACCTTCCTGATATTATGAGGCCCATGAATCTTTGATAGCAGATGGCGTTGATTTTGTGGGTATCCAGTTCTGTTTGCTTTTCCCTCCAGGTGAACCCAGTTCTTAGTTGTAGTACATTTTCATAATACCTCCATCAGAGGGTAAGAAAATGATGGAAAAAGAAGAAATGGCTATTCATTTTATTATTCATCCCAGCTTTGCCCTAAATCCCCACTTGCCAAAGCAGGATATATCTATGGATCATTACATTGGACGTGACCAAAGTACCATCTGACTCTTCTTTATATTTACCTGGAGAGGTCTGGCAAAGAACTAAAAATTGTAACATTTAATCAGTAAATTTGTCCCCTGGTGCCAGCATAGTGTTATGGAAAGTGGACAGTTTTTAAAGTTTAAGTAAATCTGGGTTCAAATGTCAGCATTGCTATTCATTAGCTATATAACGTTGAACAAGTTACTTAAACTCTCTGTTTTTTCATCTGTAAAATGGGGATAATAATGTCTACCTCCTAGGATTTTTGTGAGAATTAAATTAACTCATAGACCACAGTAGTGGTTAATGTTAACTCTTTCCTCTGCTCTACTTCCCCCTGCACCGTCTGTCATTAAAGACCAACACAAATTAGCATCTCACTGGTTCTCAAACTTTAATTTGCAGTAGAATCACCTAGAGCACTTTAATATGCAGATTCTCAGGCCCCCCACCTAACCTAATGAATCAGAATCTTTGAAGGAGGTGCTGGGAATCTTCATTTTAACATGCACTCCAGATGACTGATGTAGGTATTTAGCCAGCCAGGCTTTGAGAACCATTGCCTTATCTGTTCTTCTTAAAAATGCCCAGTAGCCAGGTCTTTCTTTCTTATAGGCATTTAACTAGGATTTAGGTTGCTCATCTCTATAGCTTCCATGTGATCCTCTTTGCATAATCCAACTACATTATATTTATTTATGTGTCTTTCTCTTCCACTAGAATGTGAGCTCCTTGAGAGCCAGGATTTATCTCCACCCTCAGTGCCAAGGACATGGCCTGGAACATAGAAAATAATTGTTCGTTGAATAAATAAATGATACGGGTTTTAGCCAAAACATTATCTTATTGTATGTGTGCGTATATTTAAATACTTTGGATTTAAGGGAATCTCTTAATTGACAAAACTCAGAACTTGGTTTGCAAATATGCCCACTTAACACGATACAAAGTTATACATAAAGTCTGTGGATCTCGCCTAACCCACTGGCATTACCGTGCTGGGCTGTCTATTCAGTGCAATTCTACAGTTGCTCACAAAGCACCTACTCTGCACCCACTGTGTCAGTGCTGGGCACAGAAAGTCAGTAGGGCATGATCCCTGCCCTCAAGCTCTGTCTCGGCCACCACCTGTCCCTCTGTGGCCTGTGCCTCACATCTAGCACCTGGTCACAGTTTGCCTTGTCTTGTTCTTAGGCTTCTCTTGCTAGAAGTTCTTTCTTCTCCAACCGGTTTGGAGGCAGGAGCCACATGTCCTGTTTTTTTGCATTCTCCGCAGTACTGACCTTTTGTTCAGTCTTGAGGAAGAGGTACAAATGCCTGTTCCCCTAATCATTTGATTATTATTTCAGTATTCTTCCATTCATATTTATTGAACACTTATTATATGCTAAGCATTGTTACAGGCAAATGAGGAATGCAGCAATGAACAGGACAGATAAGACCACTGTTCTCATGGACACTGTATTCTTGTGGATAAAACAAATAAATAAATCAATAATATTACTTCAGACACTGGTAGGCTTTATAAAAAGAAAACCATAGCATAATGGGATAGAATGTGGAATGGAGGAATAACTTAATGGTCAGAAAAGCCATCTCTGAAGAGGTGGCAGCTGAAAATTGAGCTCGGGAAAGAGTACCAGGTAAAGGCAATAGTAAGTGCACAAGCCGTGAAGCAGGGCCAAGCTAAGCACGTTGTTTCTGGGCACAGATTTAAAGGTTCAGTCCCAGCCCTTGAAAAACCCACAGTTCTGCAAGGCAAGATACTGACAGGCATAATTACAACAGAAGGCAAACTGACCAGTGCTATTTCAAAAGAGGGCAAGGAGGGTAAGGAACCCTACTTGATGCTGTGGGAGATGTGAAGCTTGCCAGGCCAGGTGCCTGCCCATGAAGAACTTAAGATTTACCAGGGAATAACAGACAATACTAAGGTTTCAAAGGGTACGTGTTCCATGTAAGAGGCAGGAGGCCCTGCAGATTCAGAGCTGGCTTCACAATATGTGCATATTAACAATAATCACTAACATTAACTTACCATGTGCCAGGCACTGTGCTAAGCCCCTTACATGAATTATCTCACTTAATCCTGCCAACACCCGTATAAGGTCGGTAGGAACCTGCTGATTGGTGAGACATGCTGCTCTCCTCACACCTGTTGCTGTGCTCCAGTTCTCAGACAAGAGGGCAACCTTCCAGTCATCCCTAACCCCAGCTCCGGCAGCCAACCCAGGTCTTAAAAAGGTACACACAACTTTCAAACTAGCCCTTGCTCTGAGAAATGTGGCTGCCCATTTTCCTTCTGACGGCTGAAGAACAAAATGCATGCATTACACGTTTCTGATTCCTCCAAACTTTGTTTCGAAAGGCATCACGTTCTAACTAGGAGGGTTTTTGTGCTCTGTTTTATGCCTCATGGAGCACTTTGGTCTTGGCAATTCTAATGCGTCAGGTTGGTGGGTTGGTGCCATGTTTTTATCACTGTTCTGTAAAAGGAGAGACTTTGGGGCATAGATAGGGGAGAGATGGCTTAATGAAGGTAACTGCCTGCATTAGGAGCCAAGCCAGGAATAGAAGGCAGGTGTCCAAGCTCCAGACTTCATAGAATCATTTGTAATGTCCACTGAGCAGGCTTATCCCTCATATTCACTTAAACAGAGCTACTTCTGAGCTCTTCAGCCTCAGGAACTGGAGTATCTACAAGGAAATTTGGTTCAAACCACTTATGAATCCTCCCAGGATCCCCGGAGCGCTCAGGTCTGGACAAAGTCCAAACCTCTTGGATCAGCTCGTGGAGCTTCAGGATCTGGCGCCTGGTAATATTTCCCGGTAGGCCCCCACCCACTCACTCAGTTCCAGCCATTCCAGATGACTGGCCATTCCCTGAATATTCTGCACTCTTCCTACATCTGTTCCTACCTTTTCAAATGTTTTTGCCTGCCCCAAATGCCAGTTCTCCTTCATCAAGTTAATTTTTTTTTTTCTTCAAAGCTCCTGAAACATCTCCTCTACTAAAGCCTTCTGATACCTACCCTGCTCTCCCCACTGTGCCGTGTGCCATGTGCCCCTCTGAGTTTCCCCAGCATCTTGTGCTAAATCTTACTGAAACACCAAGGCTGTCTCCCCAGCAGGACTGGACACTCCTTGGAGACAAGAGTTGTATCTTACTCGACATTGTATTGCCAGTGTCCAGCATGAAGCCCAGCAGACAAATGAGATACCCGCTGGATGCTGAGTAAATTCCTCTTGGGTGACCACTAAATTCAGACCACCTGTGTCTACAAGCATCCCTTGCACAATGAGACCCAGCCCTGGCAAACACATTATGATTACGTCTCAGCCCCAGGCAGTGGCCATTTTGCTTGTTCTTATTGCTGTTTTCCCATGATCTGTTTTCAAACATGATTTTTTTACCTGGAGTTTTAAAATTTGGGGCCTCTACACATATCCCTATTTCATTTCATTGGGCTGTTTTAACCCAGTGTTCCTGTGATGGTTAAGATTGTGTGTCAACTTGGCTGGGCCATGATTCTCAGTGTTTTAATGT